ATAAACCCAAATCCATAGAGAACAGGAAAAATTACAATCGAAAACCCATTTTAATAAATATAGCATCATTTCCACCCATAAGCTTCCTTCTTGAACTAGAATTCAAGGATCGAAGGCGGAGATGCATACCTAAGGGAGCAGTAGTGGCTGCAGACTAGCAGGAAGTTACGAACGCCACGAATGACGGAAACAGATTTTATTTTCAGAGTCCGTTGTTTTCATTTGGGTCGTGTCCATTTTTCCTGGCCTTACCTTGCTAGGCCTACACTTCTTTTGGGCTTAGTTCCTGAAAAAATATATTTTTAAGGCCTGGTTATTTGTCATGATGGACCGATTCAGAAAAACAACAATTGCCTGGCTCACTAGTTCTGGATTTAGGCTTACCATTTGGAGCCCCTTTGCACACGCACGGATGTACATCCCCTGATAATAGATTCATTACAAAACAAATGTTTTCTTATATATTAAATTTAGGATTTAAATTTTAGAATAATACTTAAAAAATTATTTTTTTAAATGCATTAGGCGATGTGCATGGTGAGCTTTTAAGATTGCTTGAGTAAGGATTAGTTTCACTGCATAAAACAAACACGTAGGTACGTAGAATGGCCGATGATAATTGGTAAAGGTTAAAAGATCTATTCGGTTTGATTGTTGTAAACGGTTTATATTATAGAGGATATTTAATAACTAATATTATTGTTATTTATAATTTAAACATTATTAGCAGTTAGATATTATTTCTCAATTATAATTGGTTTAAAATAACTAAATTAATTAAATAAGTCAAAGAACTAAATAACTCAATAGTAATTTCTTTTCAGTGGTAATTTTTTTTTTTTTATAAAAGATCAACATTCTATAATTCATGTCACATAACATATATATGAGGTAAATTAAGGAATAAAAGTGAGTTAGCTCGTATTGTGGAAGTTAAGATTAAAAAAATTAATTAAATGAAACAACGCCTTTAAAAATGATTGATATTTATTATTATTATTACTTATAATTTAAATATTATTAATAGTTAGATATTACATATCAATTATAATTGATTTAAAACAACTAAATTAATTAAAT